AACTGCTTCGTGCTTCATTAACCAGTATAAACACATTTGCCAGTTTAAATCCCCTACTGAATCCAATTCCAATTAGTACTAGAAAGGTATTCAATTGCCAAGTAAAAGAATTCCTGGGGAAAAACTTCAGAATTGCCATTCTTATGGCACTTTTACAGGTCAATGAGAGGCCTATTTTCTATCACACCTATAACTTATCTACTGAAATCAAATTTATACCTATTTTAATAAACCATTTTAGACTACTTATTTCAGATTTTATTAGTTTCTGAGAACAATTCAATAAAGTGTCTGAACCATGAAAACTTCCAAGCAGAAAAGAAGTGGAAAGCAGGAAGGCAGGCAGGGAAGAGGGTACTTAACACCTCAAAAAAAACATCTTCTCTGGTACTTGAACCAAAGGAAACAGAAGTCAGAGATTATCTCAATCTAATGACAACAGGACAATGCAAAACAGGCCAAAGCAAAACAAAAGTAAGTCAATGAAAACTTGACAATTGGTGGTCAGGGCATTGGCAGAAAATGCAATTCTTGGGCTATCTTCAGAAATGATATAAGACTATGGGTCACAAATGTGACAACTATTAGTATCTGCATTCAGGCAGAGAGCTGGGTGTTTGTGACTCCTTGAATGAGTGCTCTTCAGGCAGAACCAGTCTGTGATGAGTGAAGTGGGAAGAAAGGAAGGGAAGACTGAGCGACAAGGCAGTCAACTTACGTCCTGGAACACAACAGCACAGGGAGGTGGCCCCAGCTTCAGGCAATCCAAGGGGCTGCTTTTGACATATTTTCCTGTCTTTACTTCTCAGAAGTTTATTCATTATGGACCTTGCTATGACTATCTTCAAATTTCACTCGAGTTTCAGAATCTGTAGATTTACGTCTCTTGTCAAGGCTGGGAGGTTTTCAGCCCTTATTTCCTTCTGAGTATTTGTTTTTCATCTTTGCCCTCCTCTCCTTTTCTGGGTGGCAGGAGATGTCCAGTGAGTGAGTAGATGTCACAGAGAGTAGGTAGGTGAGTTGGGCCAGTTTGGTTACTGGCAAGCAGCTACTTAGTAGAAATGAAAGTCCAGGCCCCCTGCTTAGCTTTCTGACATCACCCTAGTTGGCACATTGGGATATCTCATTATCTTATTTCAGCCTGGAAATACAGGCACCCTCTCACCTTAACTGGAGTGCAAGGGAAAGGGGTCACATTATTCTTATCACTATTACTATCATTATGGCAGTGTTTGGCTGGAGCAGGCACTTACTGTCTAAACATTTTTTGTCTTAACAAGGCTTCCCTTCCTTGGTTCTTTGGCTGCAGACAGCAGGCTTCAGTTGAGGTTTGTATGTGTGTGAGCTGGTTGGTGTTTGCATGTTTGTGGCTACTTTAGGTATAACCCTGGGTTACGTAGAGAACAGAATCACCATAAAACTGCACTATTCTAAAGGCCCTACATCCCTAGCTAGTCTGCCTTCTCTCCATCTTTAGTCTTCTTATGTTTGTTTTACATTATGAAGCTTTTTAATTTGTACGAGTGATGATAAAATATTCTAATTCATAATTTTGTTAAAATTCACATATTTTGATGATACTGTCATTCATTCTTCATGCAAGCACAAAGCACAAAAAAGTTAATAAAAAGGAAAAGAAGACTGTTCTTTAACCATATTTGCAACTCTAACTCCATATTTTCCATTTGTGAATGAGCCTCACTGCTCTGGTCAATACACGTGTGTCATATAGTTCAAAAGGAAACATATCCAAAGCAATACTTCTAATATTATAAATTGAGATTATATCAGCTGGCGCTGTGGCTCACTTGGCTAATCCTCCACCTGCGGTGCCGGCACCCTGGGTTCTAGTCCCAGTTGGGGCGCAGGGTACTAGTCCTGGTTGCTCCTCTTCCAGTCCAGCTCTCTGTTGTGGCCCAGGAGGGCAGTGGAGGATGGCCTAAGTGCTTGGGTCCCTGCACCAGCATGGGAGACCAGGAGGAAGCACCCAGCTCCTGGCTTCGGATCAGCACAGCGCCAGCCAAGGCGGCCATTAGGGGAGTGAACCAACGGAAGGAAGACTTTTCTCTCTCTCTCTCACTGTCTATAACTCTCTCCCTGTCTCTCTCACTGTCTAACTCTGCCTGTCAATAAACAAAAATAAAAAAAAATTGAGATTATTTTAAACTTAATATCAATGTTTTCTTTGTTTTCATTTTATTTAAAAGGCAGATGGAGAAAGAGAGAGACCATCTATCTAGTTGTTCACTTCCCAAATGCCATAACAACCAGGACTTGGGTCCCTTCTACCCAAATAGGAGACTAGCAATGTGGAACTCTCTGGTCTCCCACATGGGAATCAGGGATCCAACTGTCCATCAACTGATGACTGGATGAAGAAAATGTGGCATACCTACATGATGGAATATTACTCAGACATAAAAAGGAATGAAATCTTGAAAGTTACAAAAAGTGGATGCAACTGTAGGTCATTATACTATGTGAATTAAGTCCGACACAGAAAGACAAACATCACAGTTTCTCTTATTTGCAGAAGTTAATATATAGGCAGAGTATAAAAACTGGGTGGAATTCACATCATTTTGTATTTGGTGATAAATACTGCAGACACTACTCTTGTTTATGTGATCCCTTTGGTTCTTAGTCCTATCATTATGATCAATTGTGAACAGAAATTGATCACTGGGACTAGTGATATGGCCTTGGTACATACCACCTTGATGGGATTGAATTGGAATCCCCTAGTATGTTTCTAACTCTTCCCTTAATAACAAATAATGAAAGGCCTTTATTTAGTTTAGGTTTGGGTTATGTTGTATCAAAATAATTTCAAGTACTTTCTGTTGTCTTTAAGAGCTTTGATTGTTTAGAAAACACTGAGTCATCTGTTTATAAGATCTAAGGGTTTTTTTCCTTCAACCATGTAATTTTCTGTATTGTCTTTAAAGGTTTTTGGCACTTCGGTTAAATAGATAACTACTGTCTCACAGTGAAATTTTTTTTAAAAAGTAACAAAACAACCAACTATGAGAAAAATTATAAAAGAGTAAATTGAGACACACATATACAACAAACACCATGGGATGTCACAGGAGAATGTGCCACCTATACACTAAGGAGAGAGGTCTCAAAGGAAATCAGTCTTAGGGACGGTGTTGTGGTATGACAGGTTAAGCTGCGACGTGCAATGCCAGAATATCATATGGGCACCAGCTGGAGTCCCAGCTGCTCTACTTCCAATCTAGCTCCCTGCTAATGCACTTGGGAATGCAGTGGAAGATGGCCCAAGTGCTTGGGCCCCTGCACACTTACGGGAGACGTGGATAAAGCTCCTGACTTCAGATCAGTCCAACCCAAGTCATTGCACCTATTTGTGGAGTGAACCAGTGAATGGAAAATCTATCTTTCCCTCCTTGTAACTGTCTTTCAAATAAAACAAATCTTTAAAAAACAACAACAACAAAGAAATCAACCTCGCTCACATATTGATCTCACAATCCTACCACCCATAATTATGAAAAAATAAATTTCTGTTGCTTAAGCCACCCTGACTGTATTAATACAAGTATTAATGAAAAATGCCATAGATACTGTCAGATTGCTTTTCTAAAACTATGCCGATGCATATTTGATGGAGAAAAGCAATGTCACAGCACCTTTTCCAATTACAAAAGATGATAAAATAAGAAACTTAACTTATAAGATCATATTATGGGATAAAAATGCTAATTTCTATAACATAATAACAAGCATAATAGAGAAAGACTCAATTTCTAAATAAAACCCTGACCTTAACAATAATTTACCACCTTTAAATGCAAGAAGTCATCTAACTTCTCTGGATTATAGTTCTCGCATATTTAAATGAGAGATCCAGACTTGACAGTCTTTAAAAGCTAAGTCTGAAAATCACACAGTACTTTTTACAAGGCCCTTCAATCGTTCATAAACACAGGCTCATGACTTATTGTCAGCTGTTCCCCTGATGGAATTCGGACCTCACTAGTGTCCTCACAAAGTTATCTAATAGGAGTATCCTGGTGGAAAGCAATGCTCTCAGAAATAGAGCCAGCAAAACTGAACTCCAGTTCCACACCTGCTGCTAAGTGACTGATCTTCCCAAGTCAAATTGTTTCTATTTCTGTTTCTTTTTTCACTCAAAAAAAAAAAAAACTTGCTGGGTGGTCAGTGATTTCAGGAAATTAAAAATTACATAAACATGAACACATATCATCAACTGCCAAGCTCGTAATGTAGAAAGGAATAAAGAATTATAAAAAGTAAACTAAAATCATACATAGTATTATAAGACAGTACATGCAAAGCACCAACACAGCTAAGCTCAACTCAGGAAACATCAGTAGCTGCCTCATTATTTTTGGGAAATTCAGTAAAAAGGGTTTTCCTTCCAAAATTTAGATACCCCTAAGACTGTATCCAAATACTGCCTTTGAAGTTATACTTGTATCTCATTTATGGTATCACCATCCCAGTTCAAATCGTCTAAGAGGGCCAAAGAAGATTCTAGCAATCTGTAATCTCAGAGAAGCACTCTTTTTGCTCCTGCATTGCAGTTAGGAAAGTTAAGGTATTCAGACTGAACATCTAATATTCATCTGCTCAACAAAAAAGTATTTTCAAACAGTTTGCACATACATGTGTATGTACAACCTTCTTCATAACCCTGTACAGGTAATGTGGAAACTCTTCCATATAACTGTGCTACTGTACAAAACAATTTTAAGAATGGTAAAGAGGTTACGAAAGGTTAAAACCTTGACACTGAAGTCATTTATGTGATTTTAAGTGCTTTAGAAGATGTTTTAGAAATAGTAAAAATACATATTTTTAAGATTCAAGTATAAAATAGCTGGGATAAAAAAATTGCAGCTGTATTTTACTCAAATTTAATGGTATTTCTAAGTGTACATAAAATCTTATCTTAAAATGTGTGGAATGAGATCATTTTCACCATGAAGCCACATGTCTGTGGTACTTACAAAGCAGTTCTTATCAGGGTTTCTCTTCCAATGTTTCTTGTCAAACTTCTTGGCCGAAGTCGAACGCAGGGTAGCATGAGTTTGGATTCGAGGATTTAAGGCCAGAATGCTCTGAAGACAGGATAAACAATGAATAAACATATGTATGCTGGCATTATGAAAAATTAAAAATTTTAAGGAGGACCCCCCCACACACACACAATATCCTAAAGAAACACTTAAAGTCTTACTCTATGTAAGAGAGGACTATATATTATTTAAAATAATTAGAGAGGCTGGCACTGTGGAGTTAGTTGTAGGCTAAGCTTCCACCTGTGGTGAGGATATCCCATATGAGCGCTGGTTCATGTCCTGGCTGTTCCTCTTCTGATCCAACTCTTTGCTGTGGCCTGGGAAAGCAATGGAAGATGGTCCAAGTGCTTGAACCCCTGCACCCATGTAGGGTAATCGGAGGAAACTCCTAGCTCCTGGCTTTGGCCATTTGGGGAATGCACCAGCAGATGGAAGACCTTTCTGTCTCTCCTTTCTCTGTAACTCTAATGCTCAATAAAATCTTTTTAAAAAAATTAGAAAAGTTACCAAGATGACATTTGAGAAAACTAATGGAATGAGCATTTGGTACAGCCCTTAAAATGTCACTTAGGATGCGCACATCCTACATGAGTTCCTGGGTTCAAGTACAGGCTCCACTTCTGATCCAGCTTCCTACTAATATGTATCTTGGGAAGCAACAATTGCTGGTGAAAGCAGTTGAGTCCTTGCCCCTGGTGTGTGAGATGCTGATTAAATCCCTGGTTCCTTGTTTTGGCCTGACACGGCCCTTTCTATTGATGCATTTGGGAGTGGACCAGTAAATGTAAGACTGGTATCTCTTTTTCTCTGTCTCTGTCTCTCTGCCTTTGAAATAAAAAGTGGAAGGAAGGGAGGGAGGGATGGAAACTAAGTGAGAAATCCTGTATTGGTTTTAATTAAAAAGGGAAAAACATACAGTTTAGTATGGAAAAATTATTTTGGAAAAAATTTTAAGGAAAAACCAAACAAATAAGAAACCTTGATGGTATGAATTGACAAAATCTTAAAGTATATCCAAAAGGTAATATGGCTTCTCAAAGAGTCACCCTGGCTTATAGCAATAGACTTATGCTAGACAAAATATGAATAGAGTAATTTCTATTATATTTTCTAATTTGTCAGAAAAAATTTTTGACAAAGAAATTTCAAGAAAAACACAAACTATACTTTCACCAGCTGAGAGGAACACGATGGCAAATTCTTCAGTTTTGTACAACTAACAGCTTTTTTCCAACATCCTTCCATAATGGTTACACGTAGGAAAACAGTACATGAAAACTGAAGAAAAATCTAGAGAAAAGATTTAGAAGAGATCTGAGATTTTTCAGCAGTTGAAGAGCTTTCACATGGAAGACAGATTTGTTTTATATTACAAGAGAATGCAGAACCAAAATTGTAGAACTTAAAGGAGAAAGATTTAGGTTCCGCTAAGAAAGGGGCAGCTCACACTGCATTACAAATCATATCAGCCAAATGAAAATGATGCTCCTCTTCAAAGTCTCTCTCTTCCAGTCAGTGTTCCCTAATGGATACCTGCCTTTTGTTCTAGGTCCCTTAAACATCTCTGCCAGGACATACCAATCCAAACTGCTACCCTATAAAGTTTCTTCCATCCTAAATCATGAGTGGTTGGAATTGAGCAATTATCTAATTCCTTTTCATCCTTGAGTATCTGATATACAGAACCAAGTAGACAGCATATGCTTCTGCCCGTGAAATAAGTGGTTCCAAACTGTGAGTTTGGTTTTTAATTACTACGGGTCATAAAAACCATAATAAATCACTGATCTTTGGCTTTCTCTTACACAAAATGGCAAAATACCTGGATCAGAAGACTGTAGTAAAAAAATAAAAGTATATAATACAATGTTTTCTAAACTACTGACACTTGAAAAACTAGAATGAAAACAGAATTGAGAGGTTATGTATAACAGTAAATTTCCATTTTTTAATAAAGTGATCGGTAAGACTTTAACAGGGATCCTAAAAATTAGATTCCTAGTAGATGGGACCAACTCCAAGATCATCTTCCAAAAATAGCTTTATGTTTGGAATTTACCCAAGGGAAATGAAATCAGCATATGAAAGAGTTATCCGTACCCCTCATGTTTATTGCAGCTCAATTCACAATAGCTAAGGCATGGAATCAACCCAAACACCCGTCAACTGAAAACTGGATAATGAAATTATGGGATATGCACACCATGGAATACTACACAGTAGTAAAAAAAAAAAAAAAAAAAAAACACAAAATCTGGTTATTTCCAACAAAATGCATGAATCTGGAAAACATCATACTCAGTGAAATAAGCCAATCCCAAAGGGACAAATACCATATGTTCTCCCTGATCTGCGATAATTAATAGAGCATCTAAAAAGCAATCTGTAGAAGTGAAATTGACACTTTGAGAAGCAATGACTTGAACAGCCCTTGAGTGTTGAAGAACAATTCTTTTTTTATACTATTTGTTGAACTCTTTACTTAAGATAATCATATGTGTATAAAGTAATACATATGTGTATAAAGTTAACTGAAAATAGATCTAAGTAAAAATATGAGCGGGAATAGGAGGGGGAGGAGGAAAAGGGGTGGGAGTGTGGGTGGGAGAGAGGGCAGAGCAGAAAGAATCACTATGTTGTAATTATGAAGTATATGAATTTTATAACTGTAAAGTTGTATAGTTCTGCTTACATTCCTATGGACTTACTTCTAAGGGTAAGTTTAAAAACTTGCCATGGGAACCCAAATCCCCTTAAGCTGGGTAGTTAAAACAGCATTTTTTTTTTTTTACAGATAGAGTCAGACAGCGAGCGAAAGGTCTTCCTTCCCTTGGTTCACCCCACAAATGGCCAATACAGCTGGTGCTACGCCAATCCAAAGCCAGGAGCCAGGTGTTTCCTCCTGGTCTCCCATGTAGATGCAGGGGCCCAAGCACTTGGGCCATCCTCCACTGCCCTCCCGGGCCACAGCAGAGAGCTGGACTGGAAAAGGAGCAATCAGGACTAGAACCTGGTGCCCATATGGGATGCTGGTGCCACAGGTGGAGGATTAACCAAGTGAGCCACGGCACTGGGCCTAAAACAGCATTTTAAAAGTTAAAGTGATCATATGGATAGGATTAATTGTTAAAGTGATCATACACATAGGATTAAGTGTTTGGTGGCAATAATAGATAGAATTCAAAAGGAGTGAATGCTCCAAAATGGGAATCAGTCCATACAGAAGACTCACAGAATGACAATCATTTTTAAGTATCACTCTGACCTCAGAATCAGTCCCTAAGGCATTCTGGTCTGGCTGAAAAGCCCAGGAGAACATTTCAGGCATGGGAAGCCAAGACACTGTGGCAACAAAATGCCCTACATGAAGGATCTCTGTGAGTGAGATCCTACTGGAAAGAAGTGGTCATCAAAGAAGTATGCACATTTCTCTGAAGGGAAAAGAGAACTTCCACTTTGCTTATGGCCTTGACAAAATATTGAAGGAGTTTGTGGATTCAAAAGGCTTCCATAGCCTAGGCAGCTCACATCAAAAGCCTTTGGTGATCACTGACATGTTAACTGTTAAATCAACAACCAGAGTCATTGTGCACTAATTTCCCATGCAGGCCCTCTGTCCCTAAAGAGTTGTATTATGAGAGTTAACAATAAAACTTGTTCTCAAAGATTTATTTCATTTTAGTGTATTAAGTGGAGGATATTCCTATGTCTCATAATTTTTGTTATGCCAAGCTGTCCAACTCCATTGCTTGTTTTCTTATGTGCTACTTTAATTAATGATAAAACTTGTTCTCAAATATAATTAACAGATCATGTTCATCTGTTTCACATATAAAAATGAATTATTACTGATATCAACAAAGAAATATAAAAAATACCAAAATAAATGAATATATCAATGAAATTATTATATTACTAGACTAAAAATGTTTTCCACTATGTATTTTTGCTGTAACTCCACAATAAATTTACCTAATCATGTAGTAGGTAATATCCTTGCTTATTTTATAATAATATTTACTAAATGAGAATATGAAAGTTTTGAAAATCATATAAACTGCTGTATTATAAAAATATTAGGTGAATTATAACAGGTGACTAAGATAAATTTGATACTTCATATTCTTAGATAGTAAGAGGTACTTCATTCTGTGTTTAATTGATAATACACTATTCCAAGTTTTTAAACTTTAAAAGTGTTTTCACATGAATTATTAACTTACAAATAGCTACTTTTTGTCATTATTTTGAATTTGCGCATAAATTGAGAGTGGTTGAGTAAGCTGTTTTCAATGTCACTGTTAATATGCAGAAGGAAAGGGCCATAATTATTGAGTACTGGGTAAAGCCACTGCCTGTAACACCTGCATCTCATAGTAACACCAGTTCTTGTCCCTGCTGCTCCACTTACAGTCCAGCTCCGTGCAAGTTCAAACTATGAAGGGCATCAGAGGATGGCCCAAGGAGTTTGGATCCCTGCCACCTACATGGGCGACCTGGAGGAAGCTCCTGACTCCCAGACAGGCCTAGCCCTGACCATTGTGGCCATCTGGGGAGCAAACCAGCAAATGGAAGATCTCTGTCTTTGCTTCTCTTATAACTCTTCCAAGTAAGTAAATAAATCTTTTTTAAAATATGCAGAAGGGACTGCATTAGAACTCAGTCAAATTCATCCAAAGATGGAGTCAATTATTTAAAGGTTATTTTTGGGGCTGGCACTGTAGCATAGTGGGTAAGGCTGCCATCTGCAGTACCGGCATGCCATGTGAGCACCGGTTCAAGTCCTGGCTGCTCCACTTCCTATCTAGCTCTCTGCTATGGCCTGGGAAAGCAGTAGAAGATGGTCCAAGTGCTTGGGCCCCTGCACCCATGTGGGAGACCCAGAAGAAGCTCCTGCCTTTGGATCGGTACAGCTCTGGCCGTTGCAGCCATCTGGGGAGTGAACCAGAAGATGGAAGACCTCTCTCTCTCTGCCTCTCCTTCTCTCTGTGTAACTCTGACTTTCAAGTGTCTAACTACATGAGGAAATATTAAATATT